AAAATTGTAAACCATTCGAATGGTTTCGAGTGATTGCAACAATCGGATGGTTCATTATTTTTCATTCGAATGATTTCAAATTCTATCTCTATAAATAGCTCTCCAGTTTCAAATTGGTTATCACGTTATCTGCCTACGCATGTTGCCAAAATTAGTAGGTATGTAAGGAAATTACTTAAACCAAGAATTCCATTAGCAAACTATATAACGTAACTGAATAAGCCAATGTTCGGTAAAACAATTATTGGATTATTGCGAAGATAATCACTAGTTTGGGAAAATTTATGTGATTTTACTTCGATATATATTATTCAATGTGAATTTTCATCCAGTAGAGAACCCAATATGCTTGTATTTATTACTGTTAATTCGTTGTCATTTTTAATTAGTACTCTGTTATGTGGTGTTAGGATTGTATGGAGTGCCTACGCGCATATGTACATCCCTGTCATTGTCCCACACTGACGTCAGCTTGGAAGCAAATGAAAGTTAACACTCGTAGATTTACTAGCTTTTACTTATTAAAATAAGTAACTATTTATTATTGATAAGTAACTATTTATTGGAAAGAAATCTGGTTACTACTGTTGCTTAATAACGTTTCAGTAGGTCAAATTGAATAGATCTGATATATTTTACCCACATAGATGATTGAAATATTACGTTACACGAGAAAGGTGCTATATTTGCTGCCAAATTGACGTCAGCACTACTGGAACAAAAATGGACTTGCTACGTGTCACACCAAACAATCCTAACACCACGCTCTATTATAACTTTCTAACTATTTGAGTAGTTTCGTAATAAATGATTCCAATGATTATATGAGCAATATAACAACTACTCATACTACAAAGGAGACTTAAAGTTTGGAGGTTACCTTCATTGAAATTCCTTTAGTCTCAATCTATTCAGTGTTCTATATGTGTAACCATTAGTGTATATTATTAATTAAATTATTACATATTACAAAATAAAGATAGCAGCCTTCTACTTGGAGATTATTGTGCAATATATCAATGAATTAATTTTTGAATCAATTTTACTAACTACAAATAAAATAATTTGAAGTGGTCCGTATTCTGTCGAAACCGCCAGACGCGGATCGTGATTTCGACCTTCCTGGATCTCATCAGCGTGTCGCAGACAGCTTCGACAGAACACAGACCAATTATTACCTGCTGTCTTAACACAGCGTTTTATAATATACCACAAATGGCGCGGTAAACGCCGTCTGTAGTATAAAGCTACATTAAGGATTGCTGAAACGATCGAAAAAGATAGAAATCGCGATCCGCGTCTGGCAGTTTCGACAAAATACAGACCACTTCGAATTATTTTATTCGATTATGGTAACGTACCTATCACGTAGTGGTTAGCTACACCGGGATTCGTTTCAGCAAGTAGATATCAATATATTTAAATGGACCTTGTTGGAGCATACGTAATCCTAAAATGTAGCATTGTACTACAGATGTCATTTATCGAGCTATTTGTGTTATATTATATTACTAACTACAGATAACCTCAAATTAATGGGCAAAAATTGATACTGCTGACACTCCCTTGCCGGAAATTGAACCCGATCCCCTGGTTTTACATACCACTAAGCTACAAGGAGGAAACAGCAACAGCACAAACGATACGTACCTAAGAGTATAGGTCATACAATCGTCGAACTAATGTATAATCATTATTAGTAATGAGATATTTTCAAGTTTTGTAGTGTTAATTCAATGTATTAGCGAAATAATTTTTGAATTAAGATTATAAGGGCACATTTAAAGCAGAATCACATTAAGCTAATGCAATATACATGCAGCATATTCAGGGAATCTATTCGCAGGACAAGAATTGGGATAATTGAGAGAAAAAGAAGACATCGTGGATGTAGATGAATTACAGTACCCCATTCTGAGAGAAGAGTTTGAGTTAATACTGAAAAATTTAAGAAATGGTCAGTCACCAAGTTTTAAAACATACAGGTCAAAAGGTTAACGATCGTTCGTTTAATCCTGCTAGTTACAAATACGGGAAGGGGAAAATTCCAGACGACTACAAACGGAACAAGGTCGCAGACATACCAAAAAAGAAAGATCTGTACCTGTTGGGCGAATTTTGGTATAATTTATGCGTTGAAAATATTAATTAGAGTTGCATAAAAAATGGTGAAAGAAATTTTAGAAGGTGACCAATTCGGGTTTAGAAGAGACAGAGGAATATGCGCGAGGTCATATTAGCTTTATAGATATTACTTGAGAAAATAAAATAAAAAAGAAAGAGAGAAAAAATTGGGATTATTTAAAATGTGGTGTTATATGAGGATGTTAAAAATACCGTGGATAGAAAAAAGTTAGAGGTGAGGAGGTATTGAAGAATAAGTGAAGCTGCGTGTCTAATCAGTGTTAAATACTTCGTGATTACGATCATGAATTAATTGAATAAATAAATTAAAATTATTTTGTAAAAAATATTTTTTCGTAAAGTATTCGTATTCAAATGGCGTTTATCTTTCCACTGATACAATTAATTGTTTCGGTATTCAATTTTTTGTGTAGTGCGGGAGATATATGTGTAGTATACCATTACGATTCGCCCCGGAACAATGCGCTATTTGATAACTTTGAAGACAAAAGCAATAAGTATTCGTGTAATTCTTTACTTTAGGGCTCACACCTTCGATTTTCTCACAGTTTTGGTTGAAGTAAGCAAAATAATAAAACCCCACCCATAGTATAACGAATAAATAAAAAAAAGTGTTTGTTCCCATTGCTGTAAACAAAGAAGTACTCACAAAATACCATAACCTGATCTAATCTGACCTATGCGAAGTGATGAGTGCTGTCATTGTCGTGTATAACTTTTGTTTACAACACTAAAAGAAAAATAGTTTTCGTACCCAACATATGTACTTACATTCTTGACTACTCAATCGAGTTTCTTTGTTTGTTGTCTGCTACTCTGCAGATCAAAACGCGAGTTTATTTTGCATTGTCTATCGCATGTACACATAAAAACTATGCACGGACATTATATATTACGCAAGTATCTTAGGCCTATTGAAAATTTTGGCTTCAGCTACCGGAATTCTATTGTTATTATTAAAAAAAAAGTGTTCTTTATTGTTTCAATTTGATCCTAGGTATTATCAGCATTAAAATTTGTTTTACTTACTCACTAATTACAAAGTGAGTAAATCGGAAGAAAAGAAACATCTGTAAAATAAAATAAAATTATGAACCTAGGCATGTAATTACAATTATGTGAAGCTAAGCTAAATAATATCGAACAGTTTAAACTTATCGCTAAGAATTATTTTATTTAGGGCGAGCTTTCTTTTTTACTTCGAAACAACCAAATGCTAATGGTAACGAAATGCGAGTTTTACACAAAAAACTTATGGGCGTCCTCAATTTTGGTACTGCTCAAAATGTCAAAATGCTGAAGCATAAGCTTCTTTTTTTCTAAAAGAGTCGCTCCATCTTAATTAGGTACCATCTCTAGACCAGTCTTGGTCCAATTTTTTTTAGTATCAAATTCAATGACGAAAAGCTATTTTTAACAAGTTAATTCAAGTTTATAAGCAGAATAATGACTAAATCTACTACTAAATGTCTGAGAAGGTGTCCTACCAACCTGTCTCGCCTATTTTTTATTGACTTCCATAGAGTCCTCTGTTCTCCTGTTCTTACTAATACCTCTTCATTTCTAACCGTTTCTACCCACGTTATCCTCATCATCCGCCTATAACACCACAACACATTTTTTTTGTACATATTGTTTTAATAAAACATTTGTATTGTGGGTCTAAAATATTCACCATCAACAAGTAGAAAACCTTCATGTAGTAGAAGACAACGCCTACTTCCAAGAAGCGAAACGTTGGAAGTTGGTTTTAATCAATAAATTGCATCTTACTACCCTTATTACTCTGACTAGTTTTATTATTGTATTAACCATAAACAATAACAATTTTTCGTGACTGACACCATACTAGAAGTAGATATACATAATCTAACCTAAGCTTATCTAACATCGCGAAATATTTTAAATGATTGACATTTTTCAAAATTGATACATTTTTATTTACACACTATATACTAATACTAATGATAAAAAATATATACACCAAACTATAGCAAAAAGACAGAAAATATACATACGAAACAATAGCAAAGAAGACAAAAAATATATATACAAACAATACCAATTTATAGACAAACAGATAGTTAATGTAGAGAGAAAAGGACAAGTTGAAGTTGATGTAGGTGAATATACATACATATATACAAAGTCACTACTGCGGACACAATCGAGTAGATAGCACTTGGCACAAACACAAATATAAAGTTTGGGGTTGGTTGGTTGGCGACTGACTCCTTCTTCCTTGCCGCGGGTCGGTGGAATATGGGAGCCTTGTTGGTAGTGAGGAATGCACGGCTATTTATACAGCACTCCAGCACCAAGCAAGGGTTGGAAAAAAGAGGGGTGGAAAGTGGGGTGATAAGGGAAGGGCGAAAACAAACGATAAAAACGAATTCGTTTTTAAAGTTAGGTTCGCGAGAAAGAATAAAAAAACTGACAGTGAATAACGACAAGACATGCATGAAAATGTAGGGTTGAAAAAAAGAAGCGTGAATCTACGATAAAAATTAATAAAAAGAGAAAATAATGAGTGCAAAAAAAAGAATGATAGACACTAAAATAACTATACTACAGAAGGAGAAATTAATATAAGATAGGAACTACAACCGAAGAAGAGAAGGAAGAAGGCATTTGTAAAATTGAAGATTTAAAAAAAAATAATTAAAGTAGTAGAGAAAAGTACATAGTTAAGTAGACTTTCGGTTGTAGCAAGGGGTTACTCAGGTAATCGGGGCTCATTAGGGTGGAGAAAACCGGTCGTACGGCAAGTTGGTTGTTGTTGGTATCTAATTCGGGGAATAAATTTCGTAGTAATACTATCTACGATATCAATTCCCCCCTGGTTTGAACGAAATTTAGATCCCTGGAGCCGGGACAGGCCGTAGATGATCATGGTGTATCTTCACCAATCGATTGTCCTTTTGGACCCAGTAGGTATTTCCACCGGCATATCCCTGGACTATGTGGGGACCTGACCATCGAGGAGCAAAACCGGCATGAAAATGGTTTTCGGCGTTGGAAAGGGGTTGCTCCCTGCAATACACCTGTTGTCCATGCTCATAAGGATGTATGTCTCTGGTTGCGGCGCCAGCTCGCTGATTCTGATAAGCCTGTTGATGCCTTCGAATATCATCGGTCCTTTCCTGGTAGGTGGGTAGGTTCGCTACGTCCTCGTCGTTGGAATTATCCCATTCTCCTGGCCTTAAGAGTGTTCGTCCAAAAAGTGCGTAATAAGGGGTGGTGCCGGTGGCTGCGTTCCTTCGGCCGCGCTGGTCGAAGAGAATTTTCGGCAAGTGGGTGTCCCATGTGCGATGATCGCCTTGTTGCAGATAAATCCGCAGACCGGTCTTAATTTCCTGGTTACGCCTTTCCGTGGGATTCGCCCGTGGATGGTATATAGCTGTTGTCCAATGTTGCGCTTTCCATTTTACGCAAGCGGCCTTCCAATTCCTGCTGGTAAATTGGGAACCATTGTCCGTAAGGATTGCACGGGGGTAGCCATATCGGTTCAAAACCTCCTGCTCCAGTAGTCTGGTGACGACGGCAGTAGTGGCTGCGCTTATGGGGAATGCTTCTACCCAACGGGAGAAAAGATCCGTGACCACTAAAATGAATTTCCTCCCACGCGAGGTCCTAGGATAAGGTCCCATAAGATCGAGGGCGATAGTGTCCCACGGTTTATCGGGCTGTCGGGGTCGAAGCGGTGCTCTAGTGATTCGCTGCTTTTTGCTGCATTGACATATGCGGCACTGGCGGATGTAATTTGAAATATTGCCCTTCATGTTTTCCCATTTATAAAACAGCGACATTCGGCGGGTGGTTTCTTGGATGCCGGGGTGTCCAGCTTCGTCGTGATACTTTTGTAGCAGTTGTGGTTGGAAGGATGTTGGTATTACAATAAGCCAAACGTTCGTCTCTTTCTCCCAAAGGATGTTGTCACTTACACGGTAGCGCCGTAGGAAGGTAACGTCTTCTTCGGTGTGGCCGACAGGATTTTCCTTCAGGAAATTATACCGCTGGCACAGCTGCATGATAGCCGGGTCCGTTAGTTGTTTTCTCCGGATTTCCTCGCGAAGCGTTTCAACTTGGACCTGGAATATCTCTGGGGTAGCTGAACTGCGGTTGCAAGGAGGAAGAAGTCGAGTCACGTCGTCGCTATCTGAAGGTACAAGCTCTTCGGCTGGTAGGCGGGATAGGGCATCCGGCAAATGGTTAGTAGCTCCCGGACAGTGTTCCAGAGTAAATGTGAATTCTTGCAATAGTAGAGCCCATCTAGTCAATTTCGCGCGTGCATCCTTCATATTTTGTAACCACGTGATGGTGCGGTTGTCGGTTCTTAAAATGAACCGCTTATCCTCCAGGTAGGGACGGTACTTCTTTATTGCCCAAACGATGGCGAGGCACTCCTGTTCGTTGCTATGGTACGCTTGCTCAGTGGGATTAAAACGGGTGCTTGCGTACGAAATAATGTGCTTGGTGCCCTCTGGACCCTCCTGGTATAAGACAGCGGCAGCACCCTGCTTGCTGGCATCGGTTTGCAGGATAAATGTTTTGTTGAAATCCGGTCGATGAAGTCGAAGTGGTTGTTGCATTAGACTTTTGATTTGTTCGAAGGCTTGTTGGCATACCAGCGTCCAATTCCACTTTTTCCTGGGGCTTAGTAGGTCAGTAAGAGGGGCCGAAATTTCTGCAAAACGTGGAAGATACTCTCGTAACCAATTGCATAAGCCTAGAAACTTTTTCAGCTCTTTGCACGTTGTTGGGACAGGTGCTTCAGAAATTTTTCCTAAATGGCTAGGGAGTGGCGAGTTTCCTTCGGCGGAGATGCAGTGACCTAAGTAGGTAATTGTTCTGGACCCAAAGACGCATTTCTCGGGAGCGCAGGCGAGGTTATGTTGCTGTAATCTTTCGAATACACGTCGGAGATGTTGAATGTGTTCTTCCCATGAACTGGAGAACACAATGATATCGTCCAAGTAAACCAGACAAAATCTTCTGAGATATCCTGTCAGCACTTCTTGTCCCATTGTCCGTTGGAAGGTAGCAGGAGCTCCCTTTAGCCCGAAAGGCATTACACAAAACTGGAACTTTCCGCCGTCTGGGGCAGTAAATGCTGTGAGCGGCCGCGATTCAGGATCCATGGGAATTTGCCAATAACCCGATTTTAAGTCAATCGTCGAAAATATGGTTGATTTCCCTATTGCCTTGAGTGTTTCGTGAATCGCCGGAAGAGGCGAAACTTCATCGTGTGTAATGTTGTTTAAGCGCCGGAAATCCACGCAGAACCTTAGATCGCCGCTCTTTTTGTTCACCATTACTACGGGAGAATTGTAGTGGGACTGGCTTGGCTCAATAATCTTGTCCGTTAGCATCTCCTCGACTTGGGCCTGGATTAGTCTCTTCTTCTCTTCGGAATACCTGTACGGTGGTAGGCAGAAATGCTCGTTTTTAGTCAGACGGATGACGTGTCGAGCGGTTTTCGTCGGAGAAGTAGGCTTTTTAAACACTTCTTGAAAATCATCGACCAATTTTTGAAACTGGGTCTGGTACTTTGGAGGGAAATTGTGTGTTACCAATTTTTCAACAGGTGCGGCCGGTGTGGTAGTTGGTGATTTTGGTCGGATCCAATAAACAGTGTGCCGTGTGTCTGTGCCAAAGTGAACACACATTCTCTCAAAGTCGCAGGTAGCGTTGCTGCCCCGTAACCACGGAACCCCTAGGATGAACCTTTCTTGTAAGCCTTCGGCGACAAAAGCTTCAACTTCCTGCTGACATCCTCCAATTTGTATGGTTATACGGACTTTACCCAAGATACGCATACTTTTCCCATTAGCGAGGTTGGCAATGCGTAATGATGAAGAAGCAACGCTACAATCCTCAGTTAATTGGGCGCTTATAAAATTATGAGACGCTCCCGTGTCTATTAGGGCTTCAATGTACATCTCCTTCAGGTTTAGCAGTACCTTGGGCAACCATGAATCAGATGCTACGTCTGCCTGGTTGTTTACGACGAGCGAACGTCCGGCCTTGGTTGAGGGGATTGGACGAAAGTTCCTTCCTCGGCCTGTCTCCAGTTTCCCGGATGAGAGCGTCGTTCGGATAATACTGGACAGTCCCGGTGAAAGTGTTTTCCCGGACAATGATGACACCTTGGCAGGGATGGCGTCACAGGTGTAGAAGATTTGGTCGACGTCGTTACTTCCTCTCGCTTCTGACTCGTTGTTGGTGTCTGCATTTGATCGCCTTCGATCTCGACAGCTCTTCGAAGAAGTTCGTCTATGGAAGTTGGTCTTGGTGCTCTCAAGAATGTCCGTATGCTTGGTCGGACTAGCTCGATGAGAAGCTGGATACAACCGTCTTCCGTTTCATCAGGTATCAGCCGTTGTATTAACTGCAATTTGTTTAGCAGGAACATTTCGGTGTTGTCTTTGACCCCCTGTTTCTGGCTGTATAACTGCGCCTTTAATGCTATTAAAGTTTCCGGTCGATTATATTTGGTTATTAATCGAACCCGGAAGTCTTTCCATAGCATGGGAAAATTTTGGTAGGGACGCCACCATGATGCCGCATTGCCTTGCAGTTGATTCACGACTAATTTGAGTCGCTCGCTGGGTTCTATTTGATACTTCTCGAAGTAGTCCTCGCAGTCCTTCAGGAAGTTTTCGGGATTCTCTGTTACCTCACCTTTGAATGAAGGTGCAGCTGGCAATGGTCTCGACACAGTGAGAACGCGTTGTAAGATGTTCTCCAGTTGCTGGGATGATAATTGGATCGGGTGAGAAGTTGTGGGCGCCACTTGGTGTTTAGACACTCCAAGAAGTGTGTCACCTTCTTCGTCTACGTGTTTGGCTTTTGACCCGGTTTTCCTCGGCATTTTCGCTCTCAAGGTATGGATACGATTGTATTACACTAATACCTTTTCACTGGCCCCACGCGTTGGGCGTCACTTGATACACTTTTATTTACACACTATATACTAATACTAATGATAAAAAATATATACACCAAACTATAGCAAAAAGACAGAAAATATACATACGAAACAATAGCAAAGAAGACAAAAAATATATATACAAACAATACCAATTTATAGACAAACAGATAGTTAATGTAGAGAGAAAAGGACAAGTTGAAGTTGATGTAGGTGAATATACATACATATATACAAAGTCACTACTGCGGACACAATCGAGTAGATAGCACTTGGCACAAACACAAATATAAAGTTTGGGGTTGGTTGGTTGGCGACTGACTCCTTCTTCCTTGCCGCGGGTCGGTGGAATATGGGAGCCTTGTTGGTAGTGAGGAATGCACGGCTATTTATACAGCACTCCAGCACCAAGCAAGGGTTGGAAAAAAGAGGGGTGGAAAGTGGGGTGATAAGGGAAGGGCGAAAACAAACGATAAAAACGAATTCGTTTTTAAAGTTAGGTTCGCGAGAAAGAATAAAAAAACTGACAGTGAATAACGACAAGACATGCATGAAAATGTAGGGTTGAAAAAAAGAAGCGTGAATCTACGATAAAAATTAATAAAAAGAGAAAATAATGAGTGCAAAAAAAAGAATGATAGACACTAAAATAACTATACTACAGAAGGAGAAATTAATATAAGATAGGAACTACAACCGAAGAAGAGAAGGAAGAAGGCATTTGTAAAATTGAAGATTTAAAAAAAAATAATTAAAGTAGTAGAGAAAAGTACATAGTTAAGTAGACTTTCGGTTGTAGCAAGGGGTTACTCAGGTAATCGGGGCTCATTAGGGTGGAGAAAACCGGTCGTACGGCAAGTTGGTTGTTGTTGGTATCTAATTCGGGGAATAAATTTCGTAGTAATACTATCTACGATATCAAAATTCGGAACAAATATCAACAATATTGGAATTAAATTTGAATAAAACACTAAATATGTTTTGTTCAGAGTATAGACCGTTCTTTTTGATGCAGGTCATAAGTTTCTAGACCCAGTTTTTAGATTATTTTGCAAACTTACAAGGCGGCGTTGGGTTTATTTGATAATATTCCTTTCGAGGATGGCTAGATGTAAGAGTTAAATACTTAAATTTATAATTCATAAGCGTAACGGTTCAGGAAGGATTCTTTATGATCCCCAATACAGTTTAATTTTTATTATGGGGTGTTTATTTTATGGGCTTAACAGTTAGAAAGTGCCGTTTGTTGATTTTTTGATGTAGTCGATTTTTCACAAGTTATAAACATCCGTCTTTTCAAATACTTTGAGTTTGAAAGCCCCGCCATGTAAGTATCCACGGAAATATTTTGCAGGGTTAATCACCCATGGTCATATTCGCCACACCGTGGCGTTTTCCTCCTAGTTTTAAGTTTAGATATAAGAAGTGACCAAGGACTTCAAAAGAAGGACTTAAACCAGCACTAGCACTTGAACTAGCACAAGCACTTTTACAGTTATTCTTAATTATTCGTTTGGAAATACTCTCTGTAAATATTTGTAAATACATTTCTAATAAGTCTACTTCGCTACAAGACTTCTGTTAATCCACCTTCCACCCCAGAATTAAGCAACACGCCACTCTTGCAATAATAAGTTCTCGAATATCTGCCTATGACATTTAACATATTTCTTGAAGCACTTTTAAATTGATTATATATTTAATCATTTTACCTGAAGAACATTATTTAAGACTGTAATAAATGAGTGATTATTTAGAAGTGACGCAGGCAGGCGTTTTGAGCATATGTTGTGACATTGAAATTGTGAAATATTGTTTTTTATGAAGTGTGCTGCTGATATAATTATTTTGTAAATAGAAGTTTTAATAAAATAACTATTAAAAAGTGAAATTGAATAATTTTATTGTGGCAGACTGGGCAAGCAGCCATTATTGAAGGCACTAAAGTTTGGTAGTGAAAGGATATAACCTTTTTTTCCGTCCGAAACATCCCGTTACTCGGCATGTCAATTTTTTATTTATGTGAATTATAGTTTTGTTTTTGCATTCCTCACAACCAGCTGTTTCTGTCTTTGGTATAAGGAAATTTCCTATCGCGCTAGGCTGAGCGTTTTTCCTCTTTCTCCAAGTTGTGGAAATTTCTCTGACGTATGTTTTCCAAATAAGGTAACGTAACGGATTTCTTGTCCTGATTGGTTGTCCTCGTGTCGATGCCAGGACGAGCCTGAGTAGAGCCCCTAGGTTAAGGATCTTTTCCCGATCCTTCGTCACGAGAAGACCGACTTGACCTGGTATGTTGGTCGACATTCGAATGTGTTCCTGATTAAATTTTTGTGTAAAAGCCTGATTGTCTGAGAAACTCTTCAGTATTTCGTGATTTTTTTGGATTAAGTATTATAATTTTGGCTTTATCGATTCAATTTTATAATTTTTGGGTAATTTTTGTTCAATGGCCACGTAAGAATATTAGTATGAAATATTTTCTTAGCGTTTTTCATTTCCAAATATTTTTTTTAATCATTATGATTTAGTAAAGTTTAGCCTTTTTTTGCTTTTAAAGTTTTTAATTTTTGGATTTTCCATTATTAAACTCAATATGCATTAGCTAACTTAATTAATGGGATTTTTCCATTTAACGTAAAAAGGGTCTTGTCAAAAGGTTTGAAATGGTGCATTTATGGTCCTTAATATTTTTTTGTATGTATAGTTGAATATCTTGAAATTTAGAGCTTGTTATGGACGAAGACTAGTAGACATAATTTCCCTTCCTCCCTTTTTCACCTTTGCATTAATGTTTTAATATTTTTCGTATTCTTGATAACTTTAAATAAATAACGTTAATTTTTTATTCAAGGTTTTTGTAATCATGTATTCGGTATTTTTAATTAACAGATCATTCCCTGTATTATGTTTACTTGGCCCACTTCGGGTTTTATTTAGATTAGGGTCTCGAAATGGATCGGTCACTCCTTGTCAGGGTTCTGCAGGTGTCGACCTTTTGAAGACCTTCTGATGGTGGGTTGGACGGCTCCAGATCTTGGTTCCTGTGAGTAAATTGGTTGTAAACCAGTCTTTTTATCTTTCCTCGGATTCGAAACCACCTGCTACAAAGCGAACTAATTGGTTTTGATTTGGAGTTTGCATATCACCCTTATGAAACCTGGCCGCCAGCGGCGTACACCGGCAAAGGTCCACAACATTACTCGACTATGACGGGAGCAAACCACCGATTTCATCATTGTGTAGGGTAGTTTTTTTAGGGACCCCTGTATTGTTAAATTAATTTTTACTTGGTGCTTATAATTAGAATATTTTACTGTTAGAGAGCTTTAATCAAGGAAATCCTGGAACCCCTGACTGAGTCTCCCGAGGTAAATTTTTTACAGTTATCATTTGATTCTTTTGGTTCCACAGTATTTTCTGCTTTAATCATTTTTTACTAGTTAACTTGTTCTTTTTTGCATAACGTAATTTTTTAAATATAATAAACACATTATCTAATTTTTCCTTTTTTTAAATTACGTTAAAAGGAAAAAGGCAGAAGAGGTAGTTTTTGTAACAGACGATCGGTAAATGACAACTTTTACGATTGTCTATTGTAAAACAGTTGGAAACGAAAAAGCAGCAACACATGGATGTGCAAACACATGAGTGCATTTTTGACTTAAAATATGAACGGATATACAAAGCTGCTTCGGAGAAACTGAAAGAGGCTGGAAGAAGAAAACAGTTTTGTTAAAGGAGGCTATTTTGAAGGGTGTTAGAACGTCAGAAATTATATAGAAAATATTTCCTTACTGATCGTTAAGTAATGCAACCTAATTAGTTCCAAATTAGGAAATGCTGGAATAGGTACATTATCAGTTCCACAAAAAAGTATTTCTAATCAAATGAGTCTACTAATTAGTTCCAAACCAGTTCTTCTTCATCAGTTTCTGAGCATTTTTTTATGCCTGACGCAGTCTGATTATGTTCAGACAAATTTTTAAGTGGAAACTGTTTTCGATGGAA